CCCTAAAATAATGTTAGGAAAAATTCAGCATAATGTTAGTAAGGCAGAAATATACTGCATATATGAGAGCCTGTTTGAATGGATTTTTAAGGACACATTTAAAAAACTGACTTCTGGCGGGTAAACCAAACCTGCAGTATAACAGACAGCCGCTAACTATGGAGCTGGGTTTAAATATTTCATTAACATTTAAAGCAATAACAAAAAGTAAAATTAGACCAGTGCCATCCTCAAGGCATAAGAAGGAACCAAGAAGCCCCAAAATGTACACTTAAATAAATAATGTTTCTAGTGCTTTATACTACTGTTTGTGCTTGAAAAAAGATGAATTCAGAAAAGCAGATCCTTAAATACTGAAAAGACAATTAAAATATTGCATCATATTTTCCTCAATCTAATAAAACGAACCGCTAAACAAGTATAATTTTAGAAGAATTGTGACGTTTAGAACCATTATTTTACTAAATAAAAATTCTCTTTTTAATTTAACCTCCATTTTCAAATACCTCAACTGTCTCTTGGTTGTGTCTTCACTGTCTACACTGTCCTCTCCTCCTCGGCACTACTAGGCATTGTGGGTAAACAGCTAGATTAGCCAATCAATCTTCTCTCGGGAACAGAGGTAGTAGTGGTGGTGATGGGGGGGGGGGGGGGGTCAGGGCAGAGATAGGGAAGAGAGAGAGAGGGGAAAAGAGGAGGAGAGTTGGAATGAGGGAGTGAGCGATAAGGCGATGGAGACGAGAGGGGGCGTGGGTGAAGGAGAGAGTAAGAGATATAGTAAAGAGGGTGGGAGGAAAAAGGGGAGGGAGGGAGGGAGGAAAGATGCAGATGTGGAGGCGTCGCAGAGAACCGTACAGACTGGAGTCACAAAAGCAAAGCAGAGGAAGAAAAGCTGGGGAAGGAGTGTGAGAGAATTGATAAAGGTAGAGAGATGTTTAAAGTGAAGAGCAACAGTGCAGGTAAAAATAGAGGAAGAGTGGAATTATGGAGCATCAACAACATAACTGCAGGTTGACACATCAGATTTAATACTCTACATGCACACAGAACTGTTTATAAATCTTTACAAAGTATCTTGTTATGTTAAAACACTCAGAAGTATGTGACTTCATGCACATCAGATCTGTGTAGAGTGATAGGGACAATGTAACTTTCCTCACATGAGTACATAAAAAATAAACATGAATCAAATATTTTCATCCTGTTAGACATAATTTTTTATTCAGTTTTGAATGGTGCTTTTTTTATGACATCAGGCTGTTCTTCTGCAGTGGTTTAATGCCACCTCACTGGAGAATTAGTGCCACCAGTTGTTTATCTCAATAAGCACGACTTCTAATGTTCATACAACAGAAGTGGATGAAAACATGCATTCATTCTATTAAAACTTGTGCTAAATTTAGATGGAAATATGGCTTATGATCTTTAGATTGTCTGATTGAAAGAGGTAAAGCTCAGGGTTTCCAACAGCGTATCAGAATGAAGGTGCCCCACCTCGACAAATGAAAGCCGCCTACACTAATGTCAGAAGAAATAAATACTTTCATGAGATATATTAGCTTCATGGAAAACAATCAGAGATGCTGATTCACACAGCAAAGGCCACGTATTGAAGGGATGAGTCGACTGTTTAGAACACTAATTAGCCCTGAAATTGATCCAGGATCTGGTTGGCACCACTGACCACTTCCATTAACCAATTTCCTGGGGGAAACCCAGAAAACTGTGTAGTATTTCGAAAATGTTTAAAACCTTTATGAGGCTACCGGGATTAAAGACTGATTGAACAATTAACACTGCTAATCAAACAAGCTAATTAACTGATGTATGGCATGGTGTTTGAATAACTTAACACAACTTGTTTTGTTGTCTATTAATGCAGCAGACAACATGCATGCCAGTTAAAATTAATGGCGCTAACTAGAAGACATGCAAGCACTGCAACACAACATGGACAGACAAAATTAACTCTGTCCTTATTACATCTGTTGGTGAACGTATGCAATTCATAAAATGTGCCTTATCTTTTGTTTTCCTTACTTTCCATTACTTTATCGAAACATCAAATTAAAATCACAATGAAATTGTAAAAACAAAATAAGACGAGTAAATTCTGTATTTAAAAAGACGTGTTAAGCCATTTAAGCCTCAATTAAAAGCCTGTATGAATAGATCAATGAAAAAAAAAAAAAAAAAAACACATAAAAATAATGTTATAAATCTGTGTAGGAGGGGAAAATGACCACCATCTACAAATGCTAAACACTGTAAGCCTGCCGCTTCGGGGATTCAGATGCAATGATGAACCTAAAACTTGGCATAAACTACCAAGTCACTAATATAGCAGCCGCTGGATTACTTTAAATAACCAGTGTCAGAACTGTACCAAAAATGTAGCCCCAACTGTAACCACAAACCTTTGTTGCGCCCAGCAGAGAGAACTGTGATAATGCCTCTTAAATGCTGGCTTGCAATCTAGCAATCCTCAAAAGGCTAAGAAACTCTTTTGAGGTAAGGTGAAACATTGTTTTTTTCTTCCGATGCCTCTACCCGGCTCATTCTTTTGAAACCAGTAGAAAGGACCTGTGCTCAGAGACTAGCCTCAGGGGGCTGGAGCCAAAATTAAACCGGTCCCGTCTCCTTCGCTTTATCACTGTTAGGAGCAGACAGCAAGCGACCATGTAGCACACCCATCTACATTTATATAGACACACACACACACACACACACACACACACACACACACACACACACACACACACACACACACACACACACACAGGCTGTGCCAAAGTGCCACACACACACACACACACACACACACACACACACACACACACACACACACACACACACACACACACACACACACACACACACACACACACACACACACACACAGTTAACTGGTACTCTGGCACTAGGGGTGTGAGCCCCTCCACCCTCCTTCTATGGGCTGGTTGCCAAAGATGCCCCCCGTCCAAAAATACACACTCGCGCGCACACACTCGCGCACACACACACGCACACGCACGCACACATACACACGCACACACACACACACACACACACACACACACACACACACACACACAAATCCCTGGCTTAGCCTCGGCCCAGTGCTGGGATTACCGGATTAGAACTCTATTCCATTATCTCCACACACTATACAGCGCACACGCGCGCACACACACACACGCGCACACACGCACAATGCCACCCTGTCTTGGCCAGAGAGGACGCACAGTGTCAATCACAACACATGACATTTACACACAAGTGGATACAGTTACAGTTTGTCCCCTTAGTGGACAAAAAAAACACTTACTTACAGTGTTATTAGGCCGAATAGTGGAGCTGTTACTAGTTGGACCGTAGTCCAGGTCTTATGCAGAAGAAGTATTAGGATTTTCTCACTCAAGTAAAGTCAAGTCAATTTTATTTATAAAGTCATCAAAATGGAGATCATGATTTTATGAATACAGCATCTTTAAGGCTTGGAAATATGTGGTTCTGTGATAGTAAGTCAAAGCCAAAATCTTATTGGGAGACATCAACTACAACTCCCAAGGTGCATTTCAGTAGGAAACATCCAATTACAGATTTTAAAAGGCATACTATGCAGTTTTCCGGTTTTGTCAAACAGCTACCCCTAGAGTCGCTGCGGAGTACTTGTATTTAACGTTACCTGTCGTAAATACCACTCACCAGAGCCGTCTCTATATACGGCTCTGCGTCTCTGCACTCACGGCCTGATCCCCTCCCCCCTGTATACCGGTGTTCAGTAGGATGGAAAGGTCGGACATCGAACAGGCAAAGATAGACTCCGAAGATGTCTACTGACTAGGTAACGTCTTCCATTGAGGCTGCTTCTTATGTCGCTGATATATGTCATGTCGCGCCGTAAAGCAATTTGTGATTCTCGTGAGATTAGGCGGGGCGCCATCGTCAGACTTGCATTGCTGGTTCTGCCAGCGGCGTCCCTCTCCTGCTTTGCTATCGGTATTGATTCGCTATACTACAAGTTCGTTTACCATCGAAATTACTTCGAAGCTGTTATATTAAGGTACAAATCTTGCATAGTGTGCCTTTAAAATTCTGTTACATGCGTCGCTAACGGCAGACAGAAGCCAAAGAGAAAACTGAAAACACAACCTGCAACTTAAATAAGTCTACTTTTAGATACTTGATCTTTTTTGGATGAATTCAGCGACTATAGTGCTACATTTTGTTCCCAACTGAAATTAAGTGTTTTTGAATTCGCAACGGTGGCCAAGGATCATGGGTATTGTTATTGTATTTATGCCAAACTGATGAACAAGATATAATTTGGTTCTTTTACTTTACTTCCATCTCTCTCATTGTTTAATTTGTTTTCAACTCTGAACTCCTAGTCATGTGGTGTAGTGCAACTGTCTTGTCATGTATTGATGGAACTTCAGACATTAGAAGCACTTGGTTTGATGCAACACATATCCCTTCTTTGGCTGAAACAATTCAGTTATAGGTTAACTGTTTATCTTCAGGTTTTGTAGTAGGTTGTTGTAGTAGATTTTGCAGGAATTTGAGGACATCATCTTGAGCCTTGGGGAAGTGTGATGGATATTTTTCACTATACACCAAACAGTTAATCTACTAATTGAGAAAATAATCTGTAGATTAATTGATAAAGAAACTAATCGTTACAGCCCTACTCCCTGCTAACACAAATAAGGCTGAATGACACACATATGTTGCATGAATTTTAATTTGATTATTTGTGTAATTAAATGGTTTTTACTCTCCAGTACAGCTAACGATTATATTCCCCGTCCTTGAGATGCACATTATCCTCTACATTATCTTGTGGGTGCCACCACTTGATTTTCTTTTCACACTTGATCTCACTATTAAAATATGTACTGTGTTTACATGTGTGTCAAAAGCAGACATATAAAGAAACAAATACCTGAGCAAAAAATGAAAAAGAAGCAGCGGAGCAGAGCCCGTCTGTCACTTACATAGTCATGGAAGGCCTTTGCCTCACTGGAGTGCTCGCATGTCTCCCTTCGGTCTGGAGCCGCACAATACAAATCCCAGAATACGCTGAAATTGGGGGAGGGAGGGGGTTGGGAGGAGGAGAGGTCAAAGGTTACCAAACAGAGCAATACAAGCAAATGTATAACAGCTATTCATAAACCATTCGCACACTCTCACTATCTCCCTAGCGCTCTTAAACTGCCTCTTATACACTTGAGCATCACTGTAAGAGGGATACAATGCCAGAGTCGACCCCCTCAATCAACCTCTCACTCACTCACTCAAACAGACACACACAGACACACACAGACACACGTTACCATACTTGCATTGACTGCATTCATTTCTTCACCCTAAACTTTAAGTGTTACACTGACTTAAGCCTAAACTTGATCTCTAAAATACGCTCTTGTACAAGTTATGACTGGTAAACTGCCTCATCGTGAGGGAATTCGTTCATCATTTGATCCTTAAAAGAAGGATCAACAACAAGAGCTGAGTTTCTCTTTCTATTTGTCTATTTGAACACAACAAGTGGAAAATCACAGACACGCACACACACCTGACGACAACGCTAACTGCCTGTGTGCTACCTGTCTAAGAGGTCTTAATTGAATCAGCCTTTGTGCATTGATTTAGTGGAAGTGTTATAAACCGAGTGAAACAGCGACATGGATAACGAGAGGACTAATCAGGCAGCCACTTCACATGTCCTGGCAATCTGCGACGCACACAGACATGTTCAATCCTAAACATCTAGAATTTTTGATACGCCTCTGCACTTCATAAGACACAGACAAATTTGGGAGGCTTACGACAGTCCCACAATGAAGTCACTAAGTCATTTTGAGCTGTTTAAGCACATTTAGGGGAATTTATGGAATATTTTGATCTCAAAAGTTGACGTATTACTTCCATGACAAGGACGGAGTGAATGGTTGAGCTACAGAGGAGCACACACGATAACTGTTGTGTTGCTGAAGGACACATCAACAGGGAGAACTGCTTAGAGGCTACTGGACTTACAAGACAACTCTAAACGAGGAGAGGAGAAGAAGAAGAAAAGCAAATCCTGACTGGTTAGCCCCACAGTTCAAAGATTAAGTATGTATCAATAAGAGGGAAAAAAAAGCACATCTTCAGTGTCAGCCTATACAAAACAGTATCATTTTATACTACGTGCAAAGAAAGAACCTACCTCTAGATTTAACTATTTAATTGAACAGAATAACTAACCTCCTCTTAAGATTTACCCAGGCCTCTATGCTCTCAAATTATTATTCTGTTCCTTCATTTTCTTTTTATTAAAACATGTCCTTGGTCTCTTATTGCTGATGGTGCTCTATAGGCCTGACGTTCATGCTTCTGACTCAGCAGCCCCCCCCAGGTGAAAAGTTACGATGTTGTACTTTTTAAGAGCATTTAAGGGTATATTTACAAGTCTGTAATTCTACATCCACAGGTATTTAAATAATTTGTTCCTTTGTATTATGTGCAGTACTAATTTCAGGAATGTCCTTCAGCAACACAGAATCTATTCTGATCCATTGGCTTGTAGCTGTGTTCTAATCTTCCTGAGGAAGGAGCAAGTGAAGAACATCTTAAACGGGATGAATAAATTATAACATTATAAACAACCACCAATGGTATTTTCCATGATAAAGCTTTAGACAAGAGTGGTGAGGACCATAAACATAATTTATTAAAGCTCTGCCAGACCGTTTCCAATTACAAAGCATTTAGAGGCAAATGTAAGAATGTAAGGTGTTTTAGCGCTCAAGTCTTTTTTATATTTGATTTAAAAGCTAAGGCTGGTGATTTTTTACGTCTTTTGTCAATAAATCCTCTTAAAAGACCAAAACTAATAATGAATTGATCCTACAAACAAGTAGGAGTAGTGTGCCATGCTATTTGTACAGTATTGCTGTTCCTGTTGAAGCTAAAATGGCACATTTACAGAGATGCGCACTGACCCTGTAACTTTGAACTGTACGAATTACAAGTAAAATAAAACAAATATAGTAGGTGTACCAAAAAAAAAAAAAAAAAAAGAAAACACATGAATGGGCTTTTGACGGGTGACTGTTTTCATAACGACGATGAATTTATATATGATACATATTTTTATATCTGGATATATATATTTTTACATATATACACACACATACACACACACCACACACGATATACATACATACATACATACATACACACACACACCATCAGAAGCCTCAGTCCAGAAGAGCGCAGTCCTAGGAACAGCTAAGATACTGCGCAGAACCCTCAAACTCCCAGGCCTCTGGTAGAGGACCCGAGCTTGAGGATGACACACAGATACCACCCCAAGAGGGTGAGAGGGAAGTTTTTTTTTTTTTTTTTTTTAATATATATATATATATATATATATATATATATATATATATATATATATATTAACCTATCGTAGACATATCGGTATCAGTGGATATGTCATCCTAGAAAAAAAGAAACTGTTTTTTGGGTCATATAATGCAAAAAGGCTTGTAGTTTTTACAGTACTGATGTTAAGCTATTTATTCTTTATTTTCTCTTTGATGATTTCTAGAAATATTGGTAATCTGTGAATTGTATCCTCCTAAAATAGCTCGATCTTACATTATCGGTCATCCACTAAATGGTTAGTGTGGTTGACTTCAAGTCGATACTGCATACACCGACCTGTTGCTGTAAACGCTCACTAGCGCACCAAATCCGACGCAGAAAATAGTCCCTAACGAAAACATTATTTGCTCCTGTTTATGCAACATTTATAGACTATTGTCGGCCTTATCATGCGAGTGACTTAAATAAATTGATACAAATTTTGTCAAATCAGGTCAAAAAACAGCAACTATCTTAATTAAGTAAGATGTATGATATATGATATAAATGTATACTATTTTACAGTATATTGTAGTGCCTGTAAACGTGTGCGATTTCCTGCCTCATCCAAATTTCTCAAAAAAAAAAAAAAAAAAAAAAACTAAAACAAGTGAAACTGCTGATCGATGCTTAAGGTGATGACCCTAAAGGTCAAATCTTAGCCAGGGGCAGAAATGACAGGAGGGGGGCAGGCGGAAGACAGCGAAGGGAGAGGTGGCACAAAGGAAGATGGAATGCAACGGGTTAATCTGCTAAGAATCCCTCTCCCACATGAACAAAGGAGAAAAGTGGGAGGTGGGGGGCACACAAAGGGTGACGAGAGGGTGAGGAGGGGGAGGGGAGTACAGAGGGGGGAGTCCATTCCCTAACCATCTGGATCTATTGTTTCAGGAACGGGGGTGAAGGGATGGAGAACTGGAGGAGGGGAGAAGACGGGGAGGGAGGGGTCACGCCCTCAGTGAGTCTGGTCAACCCCAAGGCTGACACTCTGCTAAACCTCCCACCTATGGAAGTCATCTTTTAGGCATGAAGGAGGGCAAGTACAATCAATTAAATTAAAATGGGTATTTCTCAATTACACAAATGTGTGAATGTTTATTATATTATTAAGTATAAATGAAGTATGATATATGCTCTTTCACAAACCTTCAGACTACGAAAAGCTCAAATGAAGCCATTGTTTGTTCATATGACGGTAATGAATTATGTAGGGTCGGGATGGACACTAGAGCTCTATCAATGAGCATGTATGTGTGGGGAGGGGAGGGGGGTTTACACAGCCTGACATATGTACTCTAAAACTGTTTACACCCCCAACCAAAAAAATGCATAAGCTTCCTGTATCAAAACAAAAAAGACAAAAATATTGTTTTTCATAGTGGGAAAAGGTGACACTCACCACCACCACGAATGGAGGAATCCAGGGGGCTCCCCTAATGTAATATTCTTCTCCCATCGAATCTGGAGGAGAGGAGAGGAGAGAGAAAAGTCACTTGCAGCCACTAGAGAGAGGATTATGTCTGCAGGTCCAGGGGTTAAGAACATATAATCAGTCAGTCTCAAACTGTCAATGGCCTCGGACGTGAAGATGGGCACTTTTCTGGCTCTGTTGATCTCCATCTTCCCGACTCTCCTCTTTTTATGGCTATGTCCCCTGTTTCCCTTTTTAACATTTGAAATGTGTTTTGGATAAAGGGTATAGCTCAATCATATATCCACTCATTCATTCACTGTTAACACCCAAAAGTGGCTGTTAGGAGGCTTGGAAATGTATACAAGCAACACAAAGCCCACAAACATCTAAATACAATTGCATCAGTTGTTTTTGCACCAAGATTCACCATGGCAGACAGTGAGCATGATCTGGGTGTAACTTTATAGGATTTCCTTTTGAAAAATTGATGCAACACCTTACGCTCTGTAATCATGTTTAGCATGTTTGCTCTGATAATACAAGCTGTTATAAACATCCACTATAGCTGGGTTATAGTATGTACAATTTTTCTAATGAAGAAAGTGATTCTAAATTCATAAGTAAACAGTGACGTGTTTCATTTCTTTTTTCATCCATTCTTTATATAAGAATGATTATCTCTGTACATTATAAAAGCAGTTAGTCATGGATGCATCTTACCTCAGACAGGAAGGTCTGTGCGGACTTCTGTGCTCCCACATGTAGCAGGTACTCGTACACATATAACGCTAACCTGAAATGCAAAGAGAAAAAAAAAATTGTTAGAGACCAACTTCAGCTTACTTATCTTTCCACCAATGTAATGGCACAGCGCAAAGCAAAAGCAGACCTACAAGAGCGATTTTCAACCAAATATTCCCAGAAACGAGAGGCCCCTTGAGCTAATAGTCAGGAACTATTTGTTAAAGTAGAGTTCTTTCTTTTGTGTTTATATTTTTACCACAGAGGAAAATACAAGGTTAGGTATTAGAGCAACAATGGATAAAAAAAAAAAATTACTTCAAGGTTTTGCTTGGATAAACAACACAGACTCACGCTGTTCTTTTTAATGTAATGTAACGTGACTATGATGTTTGAATGGATGCTGGAAAAGAGAGCAGAGGTGGAAGGAGTGACTGACAATAGCAAAAAAGTCAACATGTCCGTCTTGAAAGTAGGGCATATGAGTTTTTTCTGGTTATTCGTTACATAAGCTATTGGCACAATTAGCAAACAGAGGGAAAGGTTACACTTCCTTTCCTGCTTGCTGACTTCATTTATCTTGTTTGTTCCTCAATAAATTGAGCGATCATCTCCATAACTGTCATTTAAACATCAATGGCAATTAAGCCATAATCCTAATATTAATTCTATTACCCACAACCGCCGTTTGCTTGAGGTATGAATGAATGCTGTTCACAAGTTTTACAGCTTGTTTGACCAATAAGCAACTTTCAGTAATGTTGCCTTCACTTTGATAGTTCCTGGTTGGCCGTAAAGTACCACCTCAGGAGAAGGGACTGTTTGGTGGGTATAAACCATGACCCAGGAAATAAAATTGGCTCTAGGTTTCTGTGGTTGAAATGCAAGTGAAGCTTCAGAGTATCTCTAAAAAGGTTTCTGGAAATTTTCTTGTAATCCAAAAGGGCCCCAAAATCCCAGCAGCACCTCTGTGGCCTATATAGTTTTTCCACTACTGGCTATGTGCATCTTACCAAACCTAAGCACTCAAAATCCTCAAATCACAACAGAAAAACACCTTCCGACCTGTATGAAAACTATTGTGTTATGGCTGAACAAACCAGGTACCGACAGGATTAGGTGCATCTAACGGGCATTCCCACTAATTCGAACAATATTTTAAAAGCTCTCAGACTTTTTTAAATTACCGCTATTATAACAGGCCAGCTACACTTGATAACGGCAATCCACCAGGGTCTATTAACACACAAGAACCATGCTGTGGAGTGGGAAACCCCCATTGGCCCAACATTGTGCTCCTAACGCCTTCACTTAGTCGTGTTTAATAGGCTGTTAATGGACCATCAATCGACCGGCAGCGTGGATATGACAGTGCCCTGTGTGCCCAGAGCAGACAGTCCTCTGACAGGCCAATAAGGTCCTAATGAGAAGGACAGTAGCTCAGTGTCATAGTCCTCATCATTAGTCAATGAACTGATCAATGAAACATGGTTTTGAGATAATAAGGCTGTTGTGCAGTTTGTTTTTAAACACCAAGAGCCAATTTGCTTTTGCAATACTGTCTTCCATTAAACTGTTTCTGAATGGTCGGATGAAGGTGATGTCTATTTAAGCTCATTTAGTGCATTTAAGCCTCTTAAGAAGATATATAGTTGGACAATAAAAATTTGGATAGGAAGCTGATAAGCGCACTATCTCCATGTTCTAAAGAAATTAAATAGGGTAAGTTTTAATAACTGCACTCAATTTGCCAATGCACAATTTATCTTTATGCTTCTGCATCACTATGGCCCTCAGTGACGAGGTGAGACCTCGGGGTGCAGCTATGGAGAATTATAACGATCCAAAAAGAAACTATTTTGACAATCGATTAATGACTCCAGGTTCAAAAATATGAGAATATCGTGCTTTTCTTGGTCTTACACTAGAGAAAAGTTTGCAAAAGAAAACATTCAGTGACGTCATCTTTATAGATCAAATGATTTAATGGCCAAAATAGTAAAATAACGATAATGAAATAGTTGGAGCCCTAATCACAGCCAAAATAATTTTCAAGGTCCAGTGTGTAACATTGAGGATCTATTGGCAGAAACGGAATATAATATAGATATGTTTTCATTAGTGTATAATCACCTGAAAATAAGAATCATTGTGTTTTCGTTGTCTAAGAATTAGCTGGTTGGGCTATACTCAAATGCTTGCAGTCTGCAACTTCACCACTAAATGCCATTCAATCCTACACACTGGTCCTTTAAAAGGTTTTTTTTAATAGAGAAATAGGGTATGATCAGATGTCTTTCCCAAGGATGTTCTCTACTTTTATGGTTCTTCTACTTTATTAGTTTCTATTTATTGTTAGTGTTTTTTTTTATGATTGCATGCATTTTCATTGCGGTGTATATATGCTTTTTTTATTAATACCCATTGAGGAACAACTGTTGCAAATTAGCTTAGGCTATAAAATACTATAATATATGGCATTCGTCTATGCTTAGGTGTGTGCCCCTATTAAAATAACCATGAATAAATAAATGTGCACAAAGTAAATGTCCACATGGGGCATAGTAAAGCACTGCACACTTCTGTGTGAGGGTCAAGGCTAGAATCAACTAATTTAGTTACTATTTCTGCTAAACGCCTTGAATGAAGCTACAGATGAGGCAAGCACATGGGAGCAACAGAAATGGCAGAAACAACTGCTGTAGAGTGTGCCTGACCTGATCTTATTACTAATGTTATGCAAATGTTTAAAAATATGCATTGTTAGTATGTTAATGTAGTCTGTAAAAGATATGAATAGGCAAATAGACAATAACTGTAGTTTGGAGCCGATGGTCGCTACATGATCACACCTTGTCCTTCACATAGACACAACGCAGTCAGGGGGCATTTTCTAAACATCATCACAGCAGGAGGGGCGGCAGCTGGCAGATACAAATGCATGCGCCTTAAGAATCTTATGATTAAATGTGTTTTTAACATAGCTAAAGATCTAAATCCGAGAGCAACAAAGTTCTCGCTCGAGCGTGACACAGGATCATTTCAGCTTGGACGTCAAAGCGATCTGCACTCCACGCAGCAACGAGTACACGCTAATATTAAGTGGTATTTGGTACATATGATAACAAAGTAGGACGATGCTAATAATTTTAGACACAACTAGAGATAAACTTTCAAGGGTGCGCGCAACATCCCATACAACATCTAGACTACACACTGCTGGTCAATATGGAGTGCTCTCAGCAGTGCTCCTCTTTTCTGGCTGTCGTCATGACCCTCCTGACCCTACTGAGCATAGGTTGGACAACACTTTATTGAACCAGCTTTGGTGTTATGTTATGGGTAGGAATTTAATTAAAGTTATTGACATAGGAAGATGATTTAAGTGACACTTTTCTGAAGAAAAGCGAGAAGTAAAGAGTGCAAAAGAGAGAGAGAGCGGGCATCCAGAGAGAATAGAAACTGAAACTCTGCTTGGTACATGTGTAAAGTAATTCTTTCTTCTATACTTTATCTTTAACATGCACCGAAGCAAAGTTGTAGACACAAGTCTCGTTGAACGTTGCTGACCACAGATTAAAGTGTGATGTGCCTAATACCATGAACGGGTTAATTGCGGGTTGAGCGTGCATTAAGCAGACCTACACCTCGTGTATAAAAGTGATCACAGTTTCAATGTGCAGTGCATCTCTTCGTGTACAGCAGTCCATCCTGCTTGGAAGGTAATAAATAGCCATGGGTGTTCCCCTCTTGCAGATAGTCACCAAGATAAGAAAACATACATGCGCAGGCAGACATTCAGACACCCAGATGAACAAACAAACAAAGCAGAGGCGGGCTTGAATTCAAAACTTCCCCGAGTGATTTACACTGGTTAATTTTATTCAACTCTAAATAAATGTATCATACTGCACAACAATAACACATAACAGCAAGAACACATCCTGACTGCATCGACTAGCTTAATCCAACACAGACAGCGGAACGGATCGTTTGTTGTACGAATGACCGTTGCTCTCAAGAGGCTAAAGACTGCAGATCACACACAAACACACAAACACACACACACACACTTGACCACTTTAGCCAGGGGAATCTGACCACTTTCTGAGGCTCCTACCAATTTGTAGGTCACAAAGCTCTCTGTGACCGCTGGTGTAGAGTGTAAGTCACTGCCACTTGCAGGTCAGTCTAGTATTGGGCCACACACACCTGCACAGCGCGACACACACACACACACACACACACACACACAGATCACGGCACTTTCCTGTTAACTGATCACACCTATAGATTATCTGCATCTTACTGATTTTAACCGTTTTAAAATGCCTGGCAAAGGCTCACATGAAGCTTTAGAACACAGCAAGTGCCTCAAATATTGATATGTTTGCATCTCCCTGTACACTGCAGGTTTGTCGGCTTGCTTAATACATGTGCAGCCTTCTATAGGTTTGAAGGGAATAGTTAGACTTGGTCTTATGTCTGGGGATAGGAGGATCACACTGCAGATCCCCCCCAAGAGGCCTTCAATGAAATTTTTATGTGTGGTGTGTGTATGTGTGTTTTCGTGTGGGTTGCAGAAGGGGCTGCGTGTGCGTGCACCTGGCCTACTGCATTATTAAAGCTCAGAAGCTAGCTCGCAGAAAAGGGAAGTTTGAGAAGGAGGAGGTGGAGAAGAAGGAGCAGTTCTGGGACAGTGGAGTAAAAAGGAAGAGGAGAAAAATTTGTTTTGACTGGAACATAAGAGGGGGCATGCCACATTTTTATTGAGGGAAGAAACGGTCAGTGATAGAGGGGATCAGAGGAGCAGTCATGTCATGATGGACAGGAAAAAGAGGACAACCATGGTCGATTTTGACAGCCGGAATATGAAATTATATTCATAAGGCGAGATAAAATAACTCCAGCAACTCTTAAACTCTAGTTTTTTAAAGTTATAAACACCTGGTGACAAACTTTTACACTGGAATCACATTCTGCTCGCTTTGGATTTTATGCACTTTCCCCATCCTTTCTCATGCTGAAACAAAATGTTCTTCCTCCATCATAACATGTGAGGTGACCTCCTGACCTCCCTCACCACCATCCATTCCTCCCCCCACCCATACATTCTGAGATGGGACATCAGTGCGTGCACAGGCTTACTCCCATAGAGTGAGAAATCCCTGATGTATACCACCGGCACACCTGACATCCTGCCCGAGGCTCACGACAAAACCCCCTCTTTAAACATGGATGAGTCTGCCCACCATATCTCCTTCTCTTCTGTCTCTTTCTTTCTCTTCTGTCTCACTCAACTCTGACGCAAAGCTGAGAGCAGCTGCTTCAGTCCGTCTCAATAATTCAACAGCGAAGCGAGGGATGAGGACTTTGAGGAGCAGCAAGAGATGGGAAGTGAGAGTTAGGAGGCAGATGAAGAAAGAGAGACACTAGAGGAGCGATGCATGGAGATAGAATAACGAATATGGGTTCACAACACGGCGAAGGGGAGGTGTGCGCTTAAGGTAATGAGGGCGCCTGGCTGATCTTCACGCAAACATACACATGAGTCTGACAACTCTGTCCCACTTTAGTACCCCAATCCTCTGACTGGTCCAGCCAGCCAGAGTGAGCATTTGCTGGTCTTCAAACCCATCCACTTTGAGGAATAAAACCATAAGCATACACCTGTGCAGACCTCTTATTTACCTCTAGGTTATTCAGCTGTAGTGTAATAGCAACCACCATTGACCATTAACACAGCACAGGGCTTTAAAACCATTGCATCTAACAAAGTTTAATGAAAGCATGTACGGGGGTCTTAGTTGGCTTTGTTAACGTTGACCATCGGCAAAGGAAGTTCCCTGCAGATATTAGCCTCTATTTCACAACTGATGCATAGAAGTTTGATGAATTCATATATATCACATTCATTTGAAACCTCTGCAGATGATTTTGAGTGTTGTTAAGCGTGCGGCATGATCTCCTGAGCGAACAACAGCCATCGAGACGGTGGCATGCAGACAAAGGGATTGGAGGGCTACGGCTCCCCAAGCTAACACAACCTAAGCTTCCTGACAAAACCAGCCACGTAAAAAAAAAAAAAAAAACCCATGTATGTGGCTGTCCTACAACAAGCGGTGGCGGCGGTTACAAGCAGTCCATCCCCCGGCACTCGTTCGCACAACTCGGGGCGACTGAAGGAAAATCTGTACGGGCCACAAAAGTTATGAGGCGCCGCTCCGCTCGCACGGAGAACGTAGCAGTGGCTCCCCGCTTACCGAACGCACACACATGGATACAATGTAGCCAGCGCGTTCGGAGAAGAGTATCACTGTGGAACGTGGAACAATTCTAGAACACGTTCCTGAGCTATTTTGTGACAAAGCCCCAAACAGCTGTATTCTATTTTTACCTGCTGCTGTAAGCGGGGCGACACAAAAGCCAGCTAGCTACAATGCACAGCGTCACTCCGAATGCATTGTTCCTCAACACTGGGGCGAGGGGGAGAGATGGAACTAAAGTGGGATCCCCATCTCCTCACTGGGCGATTCAGCCTCGAGTGCCAAAATTGTAATGCATTCTTACTGCAAACACGTGCAGCGACGCTCCCTCGTCGGAGAAGCGGTGCAACTTTTGTCGCCTTAAAAACTGCCGCTCTCCGTTTTGCATTAGACAGAAACAAGAAAAGACAAGAGTGAAACTGGCAGTGTAGCTAGCAGCCCCGGCTAACTTAGCAGCCATGCCTGTGTAGTTAGGAGGATGGAAGAGGCACCACGACACGCAAAGTGGCGAATACAGCGAATAAACTATCAAAGAATCACTTTTGCGGCTTTGCATGCTAACAAAAAAAAAAAAAAAAAAAAAAAGAGCTTGCTGAGCGTGCGTGCTCCTGCTGAAGTGACTGAGGTGCCTCACATCAGTTAGCAAGTTTAGCTACCTAGCACACTCTTCTTCTTGGCTGGATCTGTGTTGTGACAGTGCAATAATTTACTTACTTTTCTCTTGCTTGGCTATCGGAGGGGACCACAGCTCCTTTACCCTTGCCGTACATCTTGGACGCTGTTCTGATACTTTATTTTATCCCACTCGACACCTGTCAAAGAAAGCTACCAGGAAAACCTACTATCTCCATAGCTACCCAGTTAGTGTTGTCTCCCTATTTCTCCCTTGCGCTCTCTTTGCTCCGGTTTCCTTTTTTTCTACATCCCCAACATTGCCCACAAATCAGGCAGGGTTTCAGTCGGGGGGAACTTGAAACAGTCCACTGGTGGAGCTTTTTTTTTTTTTTTCAATCGCTGTTCCTGGATTCAGCTCACGCCCCCCCTGTTGTGAGACGGTGGGGGCTTCTTAAAGCTACAGTGTCTACAGTTTTTGTCGACTTCGCTCAAGTTCAAGTTCTCTTCTGGACGCCTTCAAGTTCAGGCCTTACATTGCATTTGTGTTCACATACAGTGTCAAAATAGCCAATACTAATGGCTGCTATTGTGTTTAAACTTTTATTTAACCGTGATATGTTGCTATGTATATGTATCCTAATGGTTCGTTTCATTGTTTCTAGGTTTTTTTGTGCTAATGTCACACCGTAAGGGGCACTTGATTGACCTGGGTGCCCCCTGTGTTCAGCCCAAGTACCTGTCCTGTAATGGGACCTTAGGACAACTATGAGCATTACCCTTTAATCCGCACACAGAAGAGGTGCCTCTCATTAACTCTCACCCCTGACCCTCAGATAGCCTGTGCACACCACTGATTGAGGTTATTGAGTTACCTGATTATATAACTGTAAACAGGAGGCCTTAAGCAACTTTATTGTCTTTTTTTTAATGCAATACTAGGCTATTGGTTCCCAACCTGGAGTCCAGGGACCACCAGGGGTCCTAAAAGATTTGCGAGGGATCCCCAACTAATTGTATTTTGCTGCTATTTCATAGTTTTATTTTGTTCAACTATTCAATCTCTGAGGGCAGCTGAACATATTTCTGTATCTAAAGGAGGTCTGAGGTCAAAAACTATGACTGACTGAACAATATGGACATATTGTACAGTTTTCCTTGATCTTTTCCTTTTTTACAGCATTCATTGTCTTGATTTTAAGGTGGCCTTAATCATTTACCCTAATTTAAATGTAATATTTCATTCAGTATCTTTATGGTCTGTCTTGTGTATGCCACTCTCAAAATGCAGTACATCAACAAACATAATAATACATAACACAACATGTAACAACTGGGAAACATTGTGCACAAATGATTGCCATTAGTTCTTAAACCACATTGTAGGTTCTTGCTTCGTTGCCTCAGAGTGATTTAATTCTCAAAATGTCAGCCACTCCCGAACAGTTCCTACAAATGCTACATTGAAAGCCAACATTTATACCCAAGAACATCATAATATAGGATGCCACAGCTATTGCAAATGTTCATGTAGTGTCCAGGTATGCCGTTGGCTCTCGGTAGCAATGCATAAGTCTGTGTCATGTCCCTTTAAGAGTGTGTAGAGGGCAGTTGCAGAGTTTGTGTGTGCACATGTGTGTGTATATGTGTGTAAGGCAGGGACAGGCAGTGTGTTCTGTTTTCGTGCTACTAGCTGTGGGAAGGGCACAGCTGACTGTCTGTGTGCGTGTGTGTTTGTGTGCACGCCGGTGTGTGTGTACGTGTGGGGAGAAGCGCACGTATTTGTGTGTGTGTGTGTGTGTGTGTGTGTGTGTGTGTGTGTGTGTGTGTGTGCAAGAGAGAGAGAGAGAGGGAGAGAGAGAGAGAGGAAGAGAGAAAATACATTTCTGTATGAGTGTGGTAGGGCTTGTTTTTTTTCATGAGAATACAAACAGCTCATGATGAGCGGACATAATATAAAAGAATAGAGGAATAATGGAGGAAGAAGATAGAGAAAGAGCAAGAGTGAGGACTGTTATGTCGGCAAGAATTTTCCTTGGTGAACTGGTGTATATGACGTATAGCAACGCAGATGTACTAAAAGATGCAATAGATGTACATTAATGTGATTTTACAAGCAATTAACTGTGTATGTTTAACAATATTCATACACTGAATTATAGTTAAACTCACAATCTCACTCAAATGTGGCGCAAGACAAAGTAAGAAAAACATCTAGGAATTTTCTCTTCCTTACGCATTTGTTTTGTTCCAGTTTGTTCCAGAGAATAATCACCAGTGACTGCTCTCGTTGTGCAGTGTTATTTAAAAAAAAATGTGTTTCAGACTTCGTCCACACTAAACTGGCTGAATTTGAAAACATGTGTCCACTCCGACCTTTTCAGGTTGTTTTATGATAGTCTCCATCCACACTGAAATGCCAAAAACATAAAATAAATACATTACTTCACTTATACTGTGTTTGTTGACAAAAACTGAATGAGCATAAAATAGTGATTGAACGTGGCTCATAAAACAACCTGTTAACCAAATAACGTGTCATTTTTGTGCCTCTGTGCTGTCAATCAAATGAGTATTTTATCACCGCAAAGTCTGACAGAATAAACTTCGAGGGTTATACCATTATTTTTCAAACCCATGTGTCTGCATCCACTCTAGGATATGAGAAATCTAAAAAAAAGGCCAGGTTGAAGACCACCTTGGAACAAGCTACATTTCTGGGTGTGAAACGTCGGCGTATGTTGTGGACAGAACGCCAAAACGGTGAAATTAAGATGCATTTTCAAATTTAGCCAGCTCACTGTAGGTACTGTCAAGGAGCAAGAGAACGAGGGAAAGAGAGAAAGTGATGGTGTAGGTATCTTTTAAGCTCTAGACCACAAACTCTATCACTGTCTCATCATAGCACCAGTATTGATCCGAGAACCCAATGATCCCTGGGAACACTGGCTCTTCCTCCTTTGCACAGAATAAACACTAGCAGCATCGCCGTGTTTGTCAGTTTCTCTCTGTTTTATCAAATGCAGATGAGCAGATAAGGCTGTTAGTGTTTTGTCCACATGCTTCATTCCTGTCCATCCATCTGTTTAACCTTTGCTTCATCTAACACCACGTTCCAATGTTGCTGGTGCTGTTGTACGTAATAACTGTATTTGTAAAACACGTTATACTATATATACTATAATAGACAGTTTTGTAAATATGTAAATGTACAATTACACAGTAAGTTCAACATGTCATTAAGTGTGTTTCCATCCACCGGTTCTTATGTGAATTTTTAATTTGTGCATTGAAAAAAAACCTGAATGGAAATGTTAAAAATTAAATAATTCTAATGTAAATCTGGTTAAAATTTGGTTATTTGGTGTAGTTAAAGGGGTTTTTTTCCCATCACAGAGAAATGACACGGAACTGATTTAAAATCAGCCTTTGTACCTTGTACTACGTCAATAATGTATTACATTAACTGACCCTGGATCTGCCTTAAATAATTCAATCACATCTCTGCTGAGAGGATCTTGTGACTGTATTTCACAACTTTCATTTAGTATGGTTTCAGTGTCAAAGAGTTTTGTTAGATGAGGTTTATGGCAGAGAAACTGCTGTACCAGTAACCAGTTTGTGTCCTGAACCTCGGCACAGATTCATATATTGCAAACTCACTTCTGGTTGCTGTTTGTATTTGAATGTAAATGTTTCCCCGAAACACCACAACTCTGGAGTTTTTTTTATTTATTTGGTTTTCAGCACCTGGAAATGCTGCCCTCCAAACTTCCATTATGATCCCCCTCTCTCCATCCCTCTCTCGCTTCTCCCTCTGATATCTCTCTCTCCATCTCGCCTCATCACTCCTTCCTTCTCTTCCACATCGTCGTCCTCTCCTCTGACCCACTTTTCTGCCTTCTCACCACTATCTCCCTCTGTTCTTCCTCATGCACCCACATCCTTCATTCTCTCTCTCTCTCTCTCTCTCTCTCTCTCTCTCTCTCTCTCTCTTTCTCCTCCCCCTTCCATTTCTTCCTCCATTTCCGTTCTCCCTCTTCTTGTCTCCTGCTTACGTTCATACTTCTCCACCCTCATACTCCTTCTTCTGCTCATTCTTCTGCTTCTTCTGACTCTCTCTCTTCCTTTTCTTCCTCTCCTTTCTGCACCTTCACTCTTACTCTACTTGTCTTCCCAATGGATCTCCATCCTTCCATTCTTACGCAGTCTTATTGAATATTCCAATTGCTCATGTTCTCTCCTTCTCTCAGCCTTTCTCTCCATCTTTATCTGCTGCATTCTCAATCTCTATCACTCCAATACGTTTCTCTTCCTCCTCATCCTCCACCTCCTTCCGTTTTCCTCTCCCTTGTGCCCCTCTCCCTCGTCTTTCCACCTTGCCACCTCCCTCTTCCCTCCACTCCTCCTCCTCCTCCCTTCTCCTCCTTTCTCCTTCCACCACCATGAGTCATTTCGTGCACTCTGTGCTCCCCTCACTATGCCACAGAGCCACTCAGGACAGACATTCATCTGCGGCTGAGATGATAGATGCTGCTCACCACAGCTCCAGCAGCCAGTTAGCTGGAGGTGATGCCTTATGCATTCAGATATCACCTGGCTAGCTGTAGTCTACCGCTTCAACCAGGATCCAACACACACAAAGGGACTCAAGTTTACACACACACACACACACACACACACACACACACACACACACACACACACACACACACACACACACTGCGCTGCCTGGTGTCTAAGACTGCTGGCTCTCTGTGGAAAGAGAAAGTTTGGTGCATGCACAAATGCATGATTAAGCATATTTGCACTTTAAGTGTGCATGCAATAGTGCTGGAATGCTTTTTTTTTTTTTAGTGTGTGTGTGTGTGTGTGTGTGTGTGTGTGTGTGTCTACTGTAGATTGTTAGGTATGTAAATTCCAGGGGAGTTAGGTTAATTGGGTCTGAAAAAGAGGTGGGTGTGTCTCTCCCCTCTATGACAGGCTTATTTACATAGCAAAGCTGTAATTACCCTAACGAAGCCCCTATCCTATCAGGGAGAGTGCACACACACACACACGCATAGACACAAAGACACGCATGAGCAATCCCCAAACAGGTTTGAGCTCAATCATGCCAAACCTGTATTTTTCATCACTCCAGATTCCTCTCAGAAGCATTCCATTCACATGTTCATTTCTAATTGAATGGCATCCTTTGCAGTGCCAATCAGTCAGTTTGTTGGAATTTCTCTATCAGAGCTCATTGGGCTTGTAAGAGAGATGTGGGACCCGTTCCAGCACTTAGCAATCACTTCCTTCCTTCTGCCCCTCCATTTTCTTTTTGTAAAAACAGGCTTTCCCTTTGTGAGTTAGGGGTAATA